TGTCAAATGACATAGCAATATCATAGATGCAAATGACTCTAGTACTTCCAAAAATGAACTTCAAAAAGTGCCTTTTGTTGCAAACATGAGTCATGACTTTTCCAACAACCCAGTACTTCAGGAAATATTTGTAAAACCTAAAGTATTAGGTGGCTGTGATCATTTATTTATTTTTATTTATTTATTTTTTGTAAGATTTTATTGGGGAATTGGGGAAGGGGAACAGTGTTGGGGAATTGTGCAAGGGGAACAGCCAAGTTGTTGTCCTTCAATCTTAGTTGTGGAGGGCACAGCTAGCTCAGCTCCAAGTCCTGTCGCCATCCTGCCGCCCACGGGCAGCTCAGCCTGTGGGCAGCTTGGTCTGTGGACAGCTCAGGGCAGCTAGCTCAAAGTGCTGTTGGGCATAGCCCACCATCCTATGCAGGAGTCAAACCAGCAACCTTGTTGTTAGGAGCACGTTCTCTCACCCAGCTGAGCCTACTGCCACCTGTTGGCAGCTCAGTATCAACTCAGCTGGGGCACAGCTCACTGGCCTATGTGGGAATTGAACTAGCAACCATCCTTGTTGCTCAGAGCTCATGCTTTTAACCAACTGAGTCACTCAGCCAGCCCCCAGTTTTTGTAAGTTGCTTAAAATTAAGGTGGGCATAAACTTAATTATCTTGGGACATTTCAGAGTGATAGAGTTAATTCCTTGCAATTGATCCAACTCTAACATGACTTATTTATTTCTGAATATTCAGCAACAACTGGAGTTGGAAATGCAAGAAAAAGAGAGACAGAGACTAGAAGAATTACAGAGAGCTCAAGAACATTTAGAGAAGGTAATATGAAGTTTTATAAATGTCTGTTTTATTTGAAACCTCTTAGAATCCTCAAGCTACTTTTTCTAGCATTTATATCATGGGATTTATAGTCTAAAGACCTGCCACACATTAGCTGTGTGACTTAAGCCTTAGAACCTTTTATAGTCCCAGTTTACCTTTATGAAAATTAGGGATAACAGCCTAATATTATTAGCAATATCTCACTGGGTCGTTATAAGGATCAAATAAGATCGTGTATGCAAAACTGCTTTGTGAGCAGGAAAGTTCTCTAATGGTGATATTATTAAACATTTTAGTTAAGAGATAGCTGTTCCTAATTCTGGTAGTTGATGTTGAAGGTTAAGTTCTTTGTAATGTTGGGGGTATTCTGCAACAGTAGAGCAGTAGTGCATCTTTTTTCTTCATGTTAGATATATTATCAACAATAATTTACATTAAGAAATTTGTTATTAATAGGGATTTTTCATGTCTTTCATTAAATAAGCTATGCAGTGACTTAAAAAGTCCATCTCCACTGACTGTGTCTGTATAATGTTGAGCGTCAGTTTGGCCAGTGTTTCCTGGTATCCAAAATGTATGCATCATACAGGCCAACTTCTGGATGACTAAGTTATTCTTTTTAACTGGATATTTCATATTGTATGTTTATAGCCAGTACCTGTTACGTAAATGTTACTTCTTTATTTATTCCATAATTAATAATAAAGGGCCGGCCGAGTGGCGTGTTGGTTGAGTTGGCTTGGAACACCAGCTCTGAGCAGCAGGGTCCTGGTTCAGATCCCACATTAGGGCCAGTGACGCTGAGCCCTCTACAGCTAAGA